TGTGACCTCCCTGTCCTCACCTCTCATGCATTTCTCACCTTGACTTCTGTCCTTGTCATCCCATTCACCACCTAATTTTCAGAATGAATGGGCTTGTGGGGGCCCTACTTTGTTTGATCTTATTTTATATTTCCACCATAAATTTCTCTTTTTGTTGAATTCCTTTTAGTTTTAGTTACATGAAACTACTTTCTTCAACTTCATTTGTCCCTTTCAGTCTATGTCATTGACTTTCTCTCCTTTTGTGAATCCTTTGTTTTCTTTCATTTTAATGTTATTTTTCTAGAGATGGGGTCTCACTCTGTTGCCCAGGCTGGAGTGCAGAGGCTTCCTCATAGCTAACTTCAGCTACAAACTCCTGGACTCAAAAGATCCTCCTGCCTCAGCCTCCCAAGTAGCTGGGCCTAGAGGCATGCATCACCACTCATATTTTGCTATTTCCTGGCTTGGATCTTACATCATCTTGTTCTACATTCTTTCCCTGAGTAAATATCAACCACTCCCATCATTTCATCTTATATAGCAAATATATCCAGTCTCCCCTCCCTCCAGTGTTCCACAGTCATGCTTCCCACTTCCTCCTAGATAACACCCTTCAGTGCCGTCACGGCATCTCAAACTCAACATCAGGTGCCTAATCTCTTCTTCTCCCAAGACTGAATGTTCTTTCCTAAATTAACAATGCCAGCATTCATTCAATTTCCTTGGAAATAAACTTCATTTATGCTTAATTTTTCCCATCGATTGTCAATGAACAAGTCCACCTAACTCTACCCCATTAGGTTATTCTTTTATTCCCACTGTCCCTCCCTGGGATCCAAGCTTTATCAAAGGTTTCTCAGACAAATCATTGTGTGTAGGGTGTGTTTTCATCTCTCTTTTGATTTTAATCCTATCCCAGGTAAGATCATTCTTAATGCTTTTTTATGAATTTCCAAGTCTCTTTCTCTTCTGAATTTTATTCAAGAGAATTTTGACTTACTCCTTATTTTATAAGGCATTTTTACTTTGGCTTTCACTCGAAAAATATTGAGTGATTTTTTTCGACATAACATACTTTTATTTAAACACACTACTTCAAAAAAAGCATTTGGGGCATATACAGTATACATTCAGTTCAACATTTATACTGAATGTGTTCAAGATAATATGCTAACTACTATAGGGAATAAAATATTTAATAAAAATGAATTTAACAAATTTAACAAGAGCTTTAGCTTTACAATCTGTTTGGGAAGATAAGGTATGTACCCAACTAGATGTAATACATGCTAGAAATATAATAATTATAAAATAGGAAGTGACAAAAGCTAGCAGAACACTATTGAAGGCGAGTTTGGTATCACTGAGGGAACTGAAGCATATTTCATGAAGGAGTCAATATATGAACAAGGACTTAAAAGATGAGCAAATGTGAACTTCTGACTCCTTATTCTTTTCACATGCCCCACTTAAGAGCAAGGCCCTTCACTAAGTGCTAGGGATACAGACATGAACGAGAGACAGAACTTGGCTTCAAGTCAGTTTTCAGTCAGTGAGGAAAAAAAGATAAAATCAATTATTACAGCTGGGTGAAAAAGAATCATAATGGTGATGTTCAAAAAGGCTATAAAACACTAAAGAAAATCACAAAGCGGGAAGAGGAGCATGAACTCCTTTTCCAAGGAAACGTCTCTAAGAAGAAGGCAAATGGGGATGGACTGGGAGAAGAAAGAAATACCCTGCACGGGGGGCCGCAGGCTCCAGGATGGGAGGGATGAAGTGGGTATCTTGGCTGTAGTTCAGGAACACGGATGAGGGCAGGTGGAAGATGTGGATAGAACAAGACATCTAAGCTAAGTTCTGCAAAGGTTCAAGGCTTGATAAAGAACTAAAGGCATTTTTTAGGAATAGCTGATAGTTGATGACCTGGTAGTATTAAGTCATAGACAACTCTATATGTAGATCCATTTTCAACAGGTACACCAGAAATCCACTTACATGACTGCATTTCTGATTGAAAACTTGAGTTTGTTGGCGTCAAGTAGCCCAATCATGGAATATCAACTACATTAAACTCCCCAGACTGCCTTCTTTGCTTCTCTGGTCACTTCTCCTTACTTGACATGTGTAGTGATATTCAGCTTATTTTTCTTTCATGATGACCTACTACTCATCACTCAAATGGAAACAAGAACAGGTATTCCCAAACATTTCAGAATTCAGTATTTCCATGACTGATAGTCATAATTTCAGCCACAATTAATAAATTAGGTTGTGTGTGGTGTTTCTATTTGGAGCTTTGATAACATCAATGATACTCTAATCCTAAGTAACTTTGGGGGGAAAAAGGTTTTAAAGTATGCATTTAGACGTCAATTGGATTTCTGTATATTTGGCCACACAAAAATCAATCTAAATGGCCAACTCCAGGGAAAAAAAATCAAGTGAGGAAAAGAGTAAATAAAAATACTGCTTTATTTTTCTTTATGAATATTTGGTATCATCACACCTACATTATCTTGTCCAAGAAGCCACACAAAACTGCCTTCCACTAAAAATGGAAATCCCCACATCTCAAACTTGGTTATTTCATCATCTTTCCTCAGGCAAGAAAGAAATAGTTGAGCCTATCACAGCTTGAGAATACCTTTAATTATATTATTATAATATTTTGTTCCAATACCTAACTGAGAATAAACCCCAAGAAGAAGTAGATGCTTTCGTCCAGTAGACCTATGAGCAGGGGTCAAGGGAGTGAGTACCACAGTGAGACTTCAAAGGCGATACAGGATACTAGATAATTAAAGATAATAACAATACATCATCAGAAAGTCAGTGAAGGCTACAGAAACAAAGATGAAGTGGCACCAAAAATAAAATACCCATTCTCCCGTTTTGCAAAGGTTACAACCTAAGTTAAGAGGTTAGTAGCACAAATAGAACAACACACCAATATGAGTGTTATCAAACTAATTTCAGTTGATTACAAATGCCTGGTCTAGAAGATCCTAAACAGGGCGTCTTAGTACCAACTCATGCGCATTGTCAAGAAGTTAGAGCTGCTGTCAAGGCCAGCCTCGGCATCTCTAACTTTCTAACTATGCTGTGTTAAAGTCATCTTGTGTCTTCATTCTACCAAACATCCAATCAATGGAGAAAAATGCCCATCAAAATCCCTTCCTGTCCATCCCCTTCTTTCCTGCCATCACAGAGGGGTCTTCCCCTCTTGCACCAGAGGCTCTCTCCTTAAAGTCGTTTCTAAGTTGAGGGGTATGATAGTATCTTCAATCACTGAGGTCAGCCCTCCCCTGATGGCTTCCAGATCTACAGTAGATATTTTACTTAAGACACACAGGGGAAAATTATTTCCCTTACACTCTCTTCCTGCTTTATCATTTTACTTCTCTTTTACTAGTTTAAAAGTAATGCATCGACATGTAATATCCAATTAATGACTCCTCACTAGATCTTTCTTACGTCTGCAATAATGCTTCTTGATATACCGAGTGCACCAAGCATTCTCTGGACTAAAGAAACTCTCAGCATTAACCTTCTATAAGAATGGTTCAAGGGTAGTACCTGTGGCTCAAAGGAATAGGGCACTGGCCCCATATGCCGGAGGTGGTGGGTTCAAACCCAGCCCCGGCCAAAAACTGCCAAAAAGAAAAAGAATTGTTCAAAAGAAAAGAGGTAATATTTGCCCAAATCTATTCCAGCTAAATGTGCTACATTGTCTCCTTAGCAAATTTGCAACTCATTATTTAATCCTTTTTATCTCAAGTTATGATCTATGTTTATACTGTGATGATTTATGATCTTCGAATTTGGGGGGGTTATGTATATATTTTTGAGAGTTTTGTGTACCTTGAACAGGAAGGTCTTTGCAAAAAGCCCAGCACAAAGAGCATATAAATCTTGAATTTTTTTAAAATTTTTCTTATGACAAGAAGATAAAACCTACCTGCCCATGCTTTTGTGACGGGGCCATCCCATGAGGCAGCTCTGGATGTGACGAGGGCTTAAGATCAGTCCCCCATGTTTTGGGACGTACCACATCAGAGACCAGACTGGAAGAGATTGCTAGAGACTTGGGCCGGGCAGCCATGGTGCCCGTCCCCACGGTAGGGCCCTGTTCACCTTTTCTGCTTGTAGTTTCATCTTCCCCTTCTGAGTCCACAATAAGGACGTACTCAGCTTTGAAGATGCCACCCTGCTGCATTCCTTGAAGTTCGTTTGCTTTCAATTCCCTTTCTTGTGGAATTGTTCCTCTGACCTCTGAAGGGTAAGTCAATGTCCCTTGGTCTCTCTCTTGTTGGCTCCCAGCATTCAAGGTCAAGTAGTCATTGGAATTAGACTGTAATAGACACAGAGAGATAAAACCATTGGCATTGGTTTAATAAATGCTTCATTTTTTCCCTGCATGTACACTGAAAAGCTAAACATGTTTATAAGGGGTTTCTTAAAATGTGTTAAATTCGTTTGGCCCAGTGCAGAACCTGTGGCTCAAAGGAGTAGGGTGCTGGCCCTATATGCCAGAGGTGGTGGTTCAAGCCCAGCCCAGGCCAAAAACTGAAAAAAAAAAAAATTAGTTTGGCCTCAGAGAGATTGTGGCTTACTTTTATGAGCCCACCCACTTGTCCTGATCTATGCCAAAACAACTTGAGGCTAAGAATCATCATCAATAAGCAAACCTGCTTTCAAATAAATCATAATGTGACTTTTTCTGAGAGTCAGAGCACATGAAATACTGTCCCCAAAGACATTCATGAAACAAATGGGGATTGGCAAGAGTTTAGCTGATGGTCAAGCAACCTGTCTATTCTTTAAGAACAAAGGGAGGTGGCGCGGCGCCTGTAGCTCAGCAGCCAGGGTGCCAGCCACATACACCAGAGTTGGTGGGTTCGAATCCAGCCCAGGCCTGCCAAACAGTGACAACTACAACCAAAAGAAAACAGCCGGCATTGTGGTGGGTGCCCGTGGTCCCTGCTACTTGGGAGGCTGACGCAAGAGAATCGCTTAAGCCCGAGAGTTTGAGATTACTGTGAGCTGTTGACACCACAGCACTCTACCTAGGGCCACAGCTTGAGACTGTCTAAAAAGAAAAGGGAAGGGGGGAGAAAATCCTAATGAAAGGTTCTAAAATAATATAAAATCTCATTAAAAGTCCAAAAGGAAACATAAAACTGGAATAAAATGCATAAACAGTCAGACAAAACAATCTAAGCTAATTGGTAAGAACTGATGAATAAGAACCAAAAAGGATGTATATATTTTTAGGACAGAGTATCTATTTGCTATTTTATTTTGTATTCTTAATTCTAAATCTTTTGCCATGCAATTTTCTATGAATACGTAGAAGCTTTACAAGAACAGGACTAAGATGGCTTTATCAAACGTTTCTGAAATGATAACAGCCATGCACATTAAGATTGTGTTTTAAAAGACTTCAGTTATTTTTCTTGTTTTGATAAGTATAATGCACTTACCATTCTCTTCCCTGTAACTTTTCTGTAAGGGTCAAACTATTCCAAAAGAAAACTAAGTTCAACTACGGTGGTCCATTGAATGTGCCCTAATACGTTTGTAAATGGAAGTCAAATCACTGATTAAACTTCAACCGTTTACTGTATACGTGCATCCTATACTGTTCAGGTGATGATGATGATACAGTGAGGATAAGACACAAATTGCCTCTGTCCATCTTTCTCTCTCTTTCTTTCTTTTCATAGTATTTATCCCTACCTATCCCATAACCGGGGATTTTATTACATACTTTTCTATTTGTTTTTTTCATTGTATGCCTTCCCAATAACTAATAAGTCATGTGAGTTGTCTTTATTTGCCTGGGATATAGGCAACAAAGAGCATAGTATACTCAGCAAACAATTGTTAAGTACAAAGACAAATGTGGGATTATTTACCCTCCTCCTGTATTGAACTTTTAATACCGAAAGAAACATCTTTCTTCTTTTAAAAATGTGGTTTTTACATATCATTGCAATTAGCACATGAATGCTATCACCTCAGGAAGCTTTGGAGGTTTGTAACCAACACTGCTTTACATATCTGTATTTTCAAACCACTCATAGAGCAACAGAAGATCCCACTAATACATTGTATGTAAATGAATGCTGTTAGAAACGTCCCAGAAGTACTATATATATAGTATTTAGAATTTCTCTGAAATAATTTGACCCCATTAATCTTTAAAATAAAATACACTGTAGCATCATTTAAAACCCAGGATCTGGTGGTGAATATATAGTTGTCACTGTAAAATTTCTTTAATATTGTTTTACTGGATAACTTTTACAGTAAGATATTAGAAAAAGAAACAGTAACCATTTCTTAAAAGTGTAATCATACCTACTGGGTACTACATACACTACTTGGATAACAGTAACACAAAAAGCCCAGACTTCACCACTACACAATTTATGTAACAAAAGTGCACTTGTACCCTCTGAGTCAATGATATTAAGAATAATAATAAATATTTTAAGTGTATTTAGTTTTTCCAAGTGAAATTTCAACAAAATTTTGTATTTTATAAGTTGTATTTGGAGAGTATGAAAAGAACATCTGCTTACTGAACATTAAGTATTTGCCCAAATTAAAGGGCAAAAATCTTTCCTAACTCAGAAAAAGGATCTGTGGAAATAGCCCTTGACCAAGAAAAAACACAGAGTTTTCCAATTTATACTGTTACAATTGTTTTAGAGTGAAAATTATAAATATTCAAAGATTATAATGTAAGTTGTATATAACCCAAGGAAATCTCAAGCAGAATTCAAAAGTTGTGACATGCAGAAATATCCCTCCTTCAAATTTTGGGTCTTGTTAAAGAGAATTAAGTTTTAAGAAATGATTTGTGATGGTTTATGCTAATGTATAAACTTCATTACAAGGGAATTGAAACATGAAACCTTTATGGTGCTATGAAGGAAGAAAAAGAAAACCCCAAGATCATAGATATTTCACGACTTTCTACATAAGATGTTGTCTTATAGACAGGGTGAATCTGATTATTTATCTCTTTCCAGTTGTTTCAAGAATAACAAAAAGTTTCCTTGATCTCAATTTATTTATAATATGTTAAAATATTTTAAAAGAAAACATTTTTACTCAAAATTTAATTACTCTAATGAATCATTTTCAACTTTTTCTAAAATTTGCTTGATTTTATTTCAAATCTAGATCTCACTTTATTTTTATTTTTATTTTACTTTTTTGAGACAGAGTCTCACTTTTTTACCCTGAGTAGAGTGTCATGGTCTCATAGCTCACAGCAATCTCAAACTCTTGGGCTCAAGTGATCCTCTTGCTTCAGCCTCCTGAGCAGTTGGGACAATGGGCGCTCAAGACAACACCCAGCTAGTTTTTCCATTATTAGTAGAGATGGGATCTCACTCTTGCTCAGGCTGGTCTCAAACTCCTGAGCTCCAGCAATCTACCGACCTCAGCCTTCCAGAGTGCTAAGATTACAGGCATGAGCCACCAGGCCTGGCTTAGGTCTCATTTTAGATAGATATAATCAGGGTATGAATACAATTTTATAGCCTGTTTTATCACCTAATGCTAATATTATAAGGTTAACATTTTCCATGGAATTGCATAATTACCATAATTATAACTTTGCCAAGGCAATGTATTATCTAGTCTTAATTTTCTCTGATTGTAAGATATTAGTCTGTTTTTATTTTACCCTAGTTATTTTCCCACATAACATTTTTCCTCTTTTGTACTATTTCCTTAGGATACATTTCCAACAATTAGATTTTTAAAGCTTACAAATGGTTTTATGACTATGAATAAGGGATTTCCATGAAAATTGTACAAATGTATAAGATGAGCGGCAAAGTTTGAGCATGCCAATGATTTCCCAAGTGCCCCAACATTGGGTATTACACATTTTGATATTGTCAATGACCTCCATGCAAATGATAATATCTCACTGTTTTGTATTGCAGTTCTTTTTGAGATAAATTAAATCTTTCTTTTAATTTTATTTTTATTTTCATAAGATACATTTGAAAGAGAGTATCAGGATGCAGAATTTGTCCTGTGAATAACAAACAATAGCATGTCAACTCAAAAGAATTGAGAATAATGGCGTTAGCAAGAACATAGGTTTTGGTAACATGTAGTCTCCCGTTCACTTTTATAGTTTAGGTCAACCTTAGGTTTATAGTTAATTCAAGCACAGAAAATGGATATTTAATATAATTTTTTGAAATTAAAAAAAATAAAATAATAATCCAACCTTATTTATAGTTTCTGGATTCTTAGCACTTGGTTCTTCTGGAATTTTAACAAGGAATTTAGAGGTGTCGGTCAACTGAATGTGGGTTGGTAGTCTTCTGACAGTGGGGACAAATGTGAAGGTCAAAGGTCTGGCTTCACAGTCACCAGAAGAGACCTATGAGATATGTAATAAACTTTCAGTCTTATCAAAGGTTTATCTTGAATTTATTCTCATTTACTTTTATCAGTTGCATATTGTCCTGTGATTGTGTATATGGCTTCAAAGTAAACAGTTATAAAAATAGTCATAGTGTATCCGAACCTTTTCAATGGTACAAATGGCCAGAAAAAGCAATACAAGCCCAGGAAGATGCTGTTGTTTGAATGGTGATAAAACAGCAGGTTGGCCAGGTGATCAGCTAGAATCTTACAGGGCATCTCAGTGGGATCCCTCAGTGGGATCATCGCAAGCTCAGCATCTGGCTTCACTTTCAAACTGGCATTTACCTTTTTAACCCTGAATTAGCAGGCTCAATTTATTGACTCATGATCAATAAGCATGCAAGAAAATCCCAACATTTATCATTAATGAGAATGCTGAAGTATGAAATTGAAAGTATGCCTATCGGAATACCAATGACTGCTCCTAAGGATATACCTTCCCTTCATTGATGCTTACTTCACTCAAAATTAATTTTATTAAGTATTCTCCGTGTGGTAAGCACTCAGGAGAGAGTGCTAGGGAGACAGTGGTGAATAATAAATAATCGGTAAACTACCCACAAGTAGAAGAAGGATATACACCAAATACTAAGGCAACAGTGATGGAAGTTGCCTACCCAACCTGGGAAGTGTCGCAAAAGGCAACACTGGAAATTTAAATACAGGCGAAGAGGAGTATAAGGAAGGACATCTCAGACTGAGAAAATGAGCTGAGTAAAAGTACCCAAAAAAGCATCAGCGGGAAGTGTAGCAAGCTTGGATTTTGTTCTGTTGACAACAGAACCAGTCAAGCATTGTAGATTGAGAAATAACACAGTCATATTAGAATTTCAGATGGATAAAGCTGGTTCCAAATATCACAAGAATAGAGACAAGGACAAAAAGCCAAACACAATAAATTGAGAGAGGAGAAAAGAGAAGATGGTACTATAGATTTCTCTTTCAGGAAGTCTGAACTCTGAGAAGTAAAGGAAAAGGTTGAGAATTGTTGAGGGGGAAGTGGGTCAATGAGGTGCCTGTACTGGTTTTTAAGGAAGTTGATTATATTTGTAGACTGGGTGGCAGGATGGTAGAGAAGGAAAGGGGAGGAAGAGTCTGCAGAAAGCAAGAGAAGTCAGGAAACAAGAAGCTCTAAGACTGGAGAAAATACACTAAGATGTGAAAAAGCTCATGAATGTGGTAAAGCAGGGGAAGTGGAAAGAGTAGGAAGGTGATGAGAGTCTTTTTCTTTGTAGATAAAATTGTATGTATCTATCTTGCACAACATGTTTTGAAATATATGTACATTGTGGAATAGTTGAATCTAGCTAATGAATAAATGCATAACCTCACATGTTATCATTTGTGTGGTGAGAACACTTAATATCTACTATCTTTGCATTTTTTAATATAATATATTGTCATTAACTATAATCACCATATGATACATTAGATCTCCTGAGCTTGGGGTACTTTTATATATCCTTTGCTATCTTATATATCCTTTGCTATCTCCCCCATTCCTCCCTAACTACTCTCGCACCTGGTAGCCACCGTTTTGCTTTCTATTCCTGTGAGATCCACTGTTTCAGCTTCCACACAGGAGTGAGATCGTGCACCATCTGTCTTTCTGTACCAGCTTCCTTCACTTAACATAATGTTTTCCAGTTTCAAATGACAGAATTTTGGTTTTTTAATGTCTGAATAATATTCCATTGTGTATTTATACCACATTCTCTTTATGCATTCATCATTGATGGACACTTAGATTGATTCCATAGCTTGGCTACTGTAAACAATATTGCAATAACTTCGAAAGCAAATATCTCTTCAACATGCTGATTTCATTTCCTTTGTATATATACCCAGTAGTAGGATTGTTGGATCATCTTAGTTCTATTTTTAATATTTGGAGAACCTCCATATAGCCCTCTGGCTAAGACTTCTAGTCCCTATCTTGTATAGAAGTGGCGGAGTGCAGGCATCCTTGTCTTTCTCCAGATATTAGAGAAAAAGCTTTGAACTTTTCCATGCCCAATATGATTTTAGCTGTGGATCTGTCATTTAGGGCATATATGGGGTTAATTGTGTAAATACACATTCCTTCTATACTTAATTTGTTAAAAGCTTTTTTTATGAAGAAATGTTTTTATCAAATGCTTTTCCTGCATCTATTGAAATTATCATATGGTTTTTGTTTTTATTCTGTTAATGCGCAGTAGTCGGCTTATTGATTGGCATCCCTGCGATGAATAGCACTTGATCATAGTGAATGATCTTTTTAATGTGATACTGAATTCAATTTACCAGCATTTCACTGAAAATGTTTGCATCTATGTTCATCAAGGATATTAGCTTGTAGTTTTCTTTTGTTGTTTTGTCCTTGTCTGGTTTTGGCATTGGGGTATTGCTAGCTATATAGAATGAGTTTGGAAGTATTCCCTCCTCATCAATTTCTTTCAACTGATCTTGGTTCTCTTTAAACGTTTGGTAGAATTCAGGGGTGGAGCCATCAAATCCTGAGCATTTCTTTGATGAGAGACGTGTCGTTACTGATTCAATGTCTTTATTCGTGACTGCTCTATTCTGTTTCTTTATACTTTGATCTTGATCAGTTGTATGTGTCCAGAAATTTATCCATTTTTTTCTAGTTTATCCAATATTTTGCTCTAACATGGTTCAGTCTCTTATGACCCCTTATATTCCTGTGGTATGAGTTGTGATGTCTCCATTCTCATCTCTGATTTTTTTGAGTCTTCTCTCATATTTTTTTACTTAGCCTAGCTAAATGTTTATTGAGTTTATCTTTTCAAATATCAACTCTTTATTTAATTGATTGATCACTTTTGATGTAATTAGTTTTCATGATAAAATCATTTCCATCTTGTGAAAGTAACACTGCCCCTTTGTCACCCCCAGGCTTCTATCAGAAGAAAGATGACGTGTCCAGACAAGACCCACACTGCCTCACACACTGCCCCCTTTCCATGCCTTGAATCCCTCAGACCTCATAACCCAGTTCATGTCAGTGTCCATGAGAAACCCAGGGATCTGAGTCATCCCCCAGTCCTTGAGCACTACACATATCTAGTTTTGTTCACATCTTACAGCCTGCTCCAACTCTTGAAACCTTTTCACTGTATGCTTTCTGGAATTCAGTCAGCCATTATAAAGTTTTCAATATCCTGACCTTCTTCTCTAAATATTCCCTTCACATTTTTAACTAAAGCATGGTTGTTACTGAAGAACTATGTTTACCAAGAAGCTCTTTGAACTGTAGCTATTTTCTTTCACACTACTGTATCCCTGGGCCTGGAACATTACTGACAGCAGTGGGAAAGAGATCTGACCACAATCAAAAATATTGACAAACTATATTGGGGCCCAACCCAAATGTAAGTCCATGAATCTATAGTATGATAATTTGCTTGGCTATTTGATATTCCCTCAAGAGATGCTTTACTCCCGAATACGGAAACAGAGAAAGTGAATTATGGTTAATGTTTAGAGATAGTTTGGGCAGAAGAATATTGAGTATAAGAAACTGAGTGTAACACAGTAAGTAAAGCAAGCAGACAGCCCTCAGAATGGGAGAAGATATTTCCAGGTTATGTCTCTGCCAAAAGTTTAATAACCAGAATCCATAGAGAACTCAAACATATTAGCAAGAAAAGAACAAGTGATCCCATCTCAGGTTGGGCAAAGGACTTGAAAAGAAACTTCTCTGAAGAAGATAGGAGCATGGCCTACAGATATATGAAAAAATGCTCACCATCCTTAACCATCAGAGAAATGCAAATCAAAACTACTTTGAGATATCACCTAACTCCAGTAAGATTAGCCCATATCACAAAATCCCAAAACCAGAGATGCTGGCATGGATGTGGAGAAAAGGGAACACTTCTACACTGCTGGTGGGAATGTAAACTAATACGTTCCTTTTGGAAAGACATCTTGGAGAACACTTAGAGAACTAAAAATAGACCTGCCATTTGATCCTGCAATTCCTTTATTAGGTATATATGCAGAAGACCAAAGATCACATTACAACAAAGATATTTGTATCATAATGTTTATTGCAGCCCAATTCATAATTACTAGGTCATGGAAGAGGCCCAAGTGCCCATCAATCCACCATTATATGTACACCATGGAATACTATGCAGCCATAAAGAAAGACAGAGACTTTACATCCTTCATGTTTACATGTATGGAGCTGGAAAATGTTCTTCTTAGCAAAGTATCTCAAAAATGAAAGAAAAAGTATCTCATATACTCAGCCCTATTATGAAACTAATTTATGACTTTCATATGAAAGCTATAACCTAATTATAGCCTAAGAATATGGGGAGGGGGAAGAGGGTGGATGGGTAGAGGGATGGTGATTGGTGGGATCACCTCTATGGTTTATCTTACAAGGGTATAAGTGAATCTTTCTAAAAGTAGAAAATAAACGTCTTAACACAATAACTAAGAAAATGACATGAAGGCTATTGTTAACCAGTTTGATGAAAACACCACATGATTACATTAATGTATACAGCTATGATTTAATTAAATAAAGAAAGAAAGAAAGAAAATTGAGTGTACTGCTGTCAGTAGAACAAAGGATTTATCATGGGGTTTGGTTTGGGTAGATAAGGAAGAAAGCCCCTCGAGTTCAAGAAACTAGAGATCCCTGTGGCTCAGAAAGCAAATTTGATACAATCGTGACTGAGAGAGTCTCTTGGAGTCATAAAATGGTATGAGAGTTTAATAATTGCAAGTATGATAATTCCAGATGGTTAGAATTCTAGTCAAGGCTGTTGGCCTTGAGACATTGACTAACTGAGAGGAATATTGTGAGAGCCAAACTAGCTCCATTTTGTTGTTTACAGCACAAGCTCCATTCTTGGCTGTTTACAGTACAAGCCCCATTCCTAGCCGTTTACCACATAGCCCTTCCGCCCCAACCTCTGCCAGTGAAACCTGCAGGGCCACTCCCTGCTGCCTTCCCCCACCCCATGTTGCACAGCCACTGCGCTGTAAACTGAGTCATCTTAGGCAAATAGCTGCTATAATAAACAGTAAGTTTCTATTACCTTGAAATACAGGTAATCAGGTTGCACCAACTCTAGCACCTGGTTAAGAGACCCCCCACCCCTCACCTGTACCAATCCAAATTCACCTTTACTAGTGAAATCATCAGCTACCAATGCAAATCCTCCTTTACTTCCCCCTTTACTAATGAAATCACCAACCACCAATGAAAAGTGTACTCATATCCGACCCTACCCCTCTTGCTTTCTGTACCCCATAAAAACTTTCTCCACCCCAGGTTCGGGGCTCGTCCTAGGCTTGCATGCCAGGAGAGTCCAGGCTTCCCGGGGCCTGAATAAAACTCATCTCGTCATTTTTACATCGGAGTGTGTCTCAGATTCGTCTGTTTGGGCTGTTTGGGAGAATAATTTTTCGGACCTAACAATATCACTGATTCTGTAAAGGTCAAGCAACCATGAGAAAATAACGTGGATCAGTCCATCCCTATGAAAAAGGAGAGCCATGCTGAGTGGTGGAAGACTGGGCTGGAAAGAGACTGATAGCATGCATGGTGGTCCAGTCTTACACAAAAGTGAAGCAAGGATTAGAAGGGTCCCTGGAACAGACTGTCTGGGGCACTGCATTGGTAATTAGAGATCTTCTTTGTAAATATGCAATCAAACAAAGAGAACCAGATATTCTTATAGGAGATTTTACCCAGCTTCTAGAAGGACCTAATGAACTAACTCTGGACAACTTACTACAGGGTATACCACATTCTGGTAACTTAAACATCTATGCCTTGCAGAAACAATACATGTGCTTTGGGGTATAAAATATACAGACAAAACCTTCTGAGCCACCTTTTATTTTTCAATGTCCTTTTTTTGCCTTTAAAGGCATTTGTCATTATTTCCTCCTTCTAGTCACATCACAATTCCTCATCATCAGAAAATATTTTATCACCGCTTTCCTTTACAGAAAGGAGCATTAGATCCCTTATGAGATTTAGATAGCCCACGTATCTTATTAGAGTTACATAATATAGTGGATTTTCTAGATGTATTATTTTCTAGGACAGTTTCCTTACATGACTAATCTCACCAATATGATGATGGATTGGACAGTGGTTGTAGCAAAGGGAACGCTACCGAGAGCCTTTCAAATAATCCATCCTAGAATGTAATTTGGGTACGAAATAAAAGTAATCCATTAGAAGTCAAAGATGAAGAGCTGCAATTATGACCTTGACCCCTGGTTCTGCAGGTAGGCCTGCCTTTATTTATCCACAAGATGACTACAGGCCTGTCTTGGGTTCTATTCAAATGAAATTTAAATACTGATGTTAGAAATATTTCAGTCCAAGCATCTCATGGTTAGAAATACATACAACCATATTCAATGATGAAAATTTGCTTCCCTAAATACCTTACACAATTTGGAGTTCCACAATAGACGCATCATAAACAATAGACTCTTTTGAAGATTGAAACCTGTAATTTGTACGGAATAAAGTGGAAACAGAGCATGAATGAAAACGGATGCCTGGGTCAATAGATGTGCTTTTCTAACAATTCCCTCAAAAAAATATCTGAGCCTAACCATATGCTGACAGTGAAGACCACTGAAAAGAAGTACAAGTATTTCCTTCTAACATAGTGTTGTGTTTCCCTCCAGAAACATCATATCCTGTGTTAAATGTTTTCACCAGTGCAGGAAAACAAATTTTTATTTTCGTTGAACCAATCCGCGATGTCTTTCCAGAAAACATTAAAAACAGAAAATGTAATAGCCCTAACAATACATTCATCTTCCTGGGTTGGTGGTGGGGAATAATGAGATCAGGGATGAATTGCTGTCCAAACACCTATCTTCACAAGAGCAATTACACAAAGGGCAAGCACTGGGTAATCACTTTTAAGCTAGCAGGACAATGTAAGCCTGGGGTTCTTTTCACCACCTCTTCCTGGCATTCTCTCATCCTCCCAAGGATCTAAAAACCATCTGCAAAGAAGTACAGCTGGAAAAGAATTTGAAATGACACTAACCAGGGTATGCAACAGACAGATGAAGACCTCCATCTTAGCCAGTAGACTATTAAATCCCTTGTTTAGGGAAAAATTTATATATACAGGGTGGCCACCCTGTATATCTGCCGTTTTCTGTATACTGTGGTCAAGGTCCAATGGAACCCCAGAATGAATTGCTATGGTGATGAAAAATCATTTTCCACACAGAGCAGCAACAGATGCATGTTAATAGCATTGCACTAGTTAATTGCCAATTAACACTTTCAGTTGTCGATGCCTTTTAAACCCCTCAGTTCCTATCCTTGGGAAATTATTTTCTTAATAAAAATAAGAGCTTAAAAAACTTAAAATCTTTTCCTAAACACACTCAGCATCTCTGAGAGTGTTACCTTCTCAACGGACAGCCTAATGATTTGAGATTTGTTTTCCCCCACGCCATGCAGGCTGTTTCTTTGCTTAGGGCTGTAATGCCTTCCTTTTTTTACATTTCCCTAAAACTTCTCTTCCTTCAGATGTTGACACCCACACACACAGATGGCCACTAGCCTCCTCCTAAGGCATCACAGGGCACGTTAGCATTAACACTGTGCCAAGGGCAATCCTGAGCATTTTCTTTGCCCAGTGAGCAGTTCTGTCCTTATCAGCTCACCCTTTCCTCTAACCACAGATAACATTTCATTTCCCTAGACAGAAAAATGTCTCTGCACCCGGGTAGCTCTCCGTCACACCCTTGCTGCAAACGCCACCAGCACAGTGCTCTGCTCTTAAAAGTTACTGAAAACATTAAGCAAAGACTTCCTTTTACCTGGGGTAGGGTCTGAACGCTCCCTGCTAAGATGCACGAGTTCATTTGGAAGTAATTGTTCTCGCAGTCACTCAGGAGCCCCTGTTCTGAAAGCATTGATTCATCACATAAGGGAGTGAGCAGACCAATGAGTGAGGTGGGAAGGGAGCCTCTTCCTAAAACAACACACACACACTCACGCAGGGAAAAAAATGAGTTTCTAAAAAGAGGTAAAGCAGAAGCTTTCCTGAACTGAAGAATTTTGTCAGCTCCAAAGAGTAGATTTATGTCTCAATAATTTTTAGGCTTGGAACTTCATGAGAGGTCACACTGACTGCTGAAATGTAATCAGTCAAAGTAAAAAAATCACCACCTCTGTGTGTTTGCCCTCCTTTCTTTCCATGCATGTATGCCAATTATATATTCTGTGAAAGGAAGAGAGAAGCCAGACTGTGCAACAAGGAAAGCTGATCGGAGGGCCCGAGCATATGCCAATCTCACTAATCAGTTGGTCACACTCCGCAGAGAACGTTCAGAAGTGTAAATACAAGCAAACGCTGTGTCTGAATGAAAGGCTAGAAGACACACACTGATCATTTTGGAAAATCAATAATGTGATCAGTTCTTGGTGTATAAATCGCTTGCAACAATACAGGAGCATCCGCGGTGACTAAAATTTTGCTATTAACAAAATCAACTCTAAAATGAAGCTTGGAATCAAATAGTTGTCAAAACAAAATTCCATTCCAAGATTCCTGGAAGGCAGTGAGTATCACGACTCAGACAAACAAACCTCAGAACGTCACACACGAAGTTGATTGGAGACTTCAGCTGTCAGTGTTTCTATTTTCCAAGTATTGATTTTTCTCCAAATCTGTAATATTTACATTTGTGCCTTAGCAGTGAAAGATGCTGTATCCAAAAGGTTAGGCATAGATCAAAGGCCACGGGGATAATGAAGGTTTTATTTTAAGAGCCTGGATTATGCCTTTTAACATTGTCGATGTTATCAAAAGCCTGAATTTGTGTAACTCTATGAATAAAATACTATCTTTGTTCAGCATGATTCTGTCCACACCATGGGAAAAACTACTCCAAACAACCTAGTATATTTTGGCCTAGAATATGGTCTAAACTTTTAAATATAAATGCTGTGTTATATCACTAAACAAACCACATGCCTTCAACTATGTTACATACAGTATTTATGGGCATCCAAAAGAGAATCCGTCCTGTCTTCAGAAAGTTTACAGTTCATAGTAAAATTGTGAATATAAAGCAGCACAAATAACAAAGTGCATAAAGAAAAAAGGAAAAGTCCCCTCTTTCTGCTTTTCTCAAACTTTCCTGCACATGTCAGTCTTTGGGGGAGCTTGTTAAAATGTAGCTTGTAACTGAGGATTTATCTGTACCCTATAGGTATGTACACGTAAAAATGTAAAAGAAAATTTAAAGAAAGACTTAGAGGAATTTCAGAGGGTGATGAGATCACAGCCACCTGGAGTGGAATAACTCAGGAAGGTGGCATTTGGGCTGCACTGAGAAGGAGGAGGGAGTGGGGGCTGATGAAGATGGGATGGAGTAGCCCTTATTCCAGGCAGAGAGAGACGCTTGAGTGAAGGTGCCTACTGGGACAGCAAGAGCAGTGAGTGACAGGAAGAGTCATAGAGCACAGAGTCCTGGAATCAGATCATTTTCTGGCTGTGGGACCTGTGACAAGTCACTGAACCTCCTAAAGACTCAGTCCTCTCACCTGTGAAATGGGGCTAAGAATAGTATTTATTTCATAGAGTTCTCACGAGGATTACAACTAAATTCAGCCTGGAAGGCCCTTTGCTCTGTGCCAAGTTAATACTTAATATATATGACTTTTATTCATTCTGCTGCTTTTCAGTTTGATTAATAACATAAATGAGAAAAAAGGCAAATAAGACCCCCCAAAAAGCAGGTCAAATCTAGTTCATCAAAGATCCTTAGTTACAAGGTTTAACTTTATTCAGTAAGGAGTAAGAATGGAGGTAGTCATAAATGTGAAATAAAACATCAAAGCATAGCATCAGTACATCTTAAAAACTACTCCTATCCCAAACTTCTATCCCCTTGGCTCTCCAAGAAGATGGAACAGTCCAGTTCCTTGTCAGTGGTCAGTCTGTTGATTCTAAATGAATTTAAATAGCTCTGAGGCTCTGCTCTCATATCTCATTCTGTCCTTTCCCCTCTGATCTTTTTTTCCTTTCATTCCCTGAAAACTTAAAACAACATTTACACCAGTTGGCACAATCAAAGTCAGAAGAGAAAATAATTCAGCCACTACCCTTGGCCCTGCTCAAATTCTTCCTTGGATCATTTTACAATGTGAGAACCAGTTCAGTGAATGCATTATTTTGATATTCTGCTGTTTTTCTCTGTGTCTCATTGGCAACTTTTCTGTAATCATTTTCCTTACCCTGTTTTATGAACTAATAATTGTGACTATTATAGTCTAGTTCTTGTAATGATGGAAGTCATAATCTCTTACTTAAAATAAAAACACATAATGGTCGTGCATTATATCAGCATGCGTCAGCCATCTGGCTAGGAACAATATACAGCCTCAAAGAGCACATGTATTTAGGATAATTTCTATAGAAACCATTCTATGTTTAAATAAAAAGTGATGGCACCTGGTCAAAAAACAAGCCTTAGTCTTGGATGACAAAGCAGCATATAAATTACTTGGCCAGGAAGGAGAGCAGAGTCTATCCTGCAATTATAACCACTTTTCCTATAGACAAGAAGAGTCACAGAGAGCCTACCCAAGACCCTTAAGCAATTTATAAACACAAAATTTTAATGATCTCTCTCCCACTACGTAACATAAGGTATTCCACTAAATCTTCAAAAAAATAAAAATAAAATTTGTCCAAGTTTGCCACAGATGGCTATAATCCAAATCTCTCTTTATAACCCTGCACTACTGATGGCTGAAGCAGATACCTTTGCCCTTATTACTAAACAGATTGGTATTATAATGCCTTTGAGCCAAAAGATTCTTAAGACTGTACTTTTAAAATAAATAATGCAAAGCAAATAGTTTTTCTTCCTGACATGGGAAAAAAGATTTGAGGGAAAAAAGCATAGTCCACAAAAGTTGACTAAGAAATATGTAAGTGATTAAACACATCCCATTGCTAAGGATATTCAACCACTGCTTTAATGCCTTGAGCTTGATAACAGAAAGTTCTAGAAGTCTTATTTATTTACCTTAATAAGCATCTGTTGCATTCCAGGCATGATTTTAAGCTCTAAGGGCATAGAGATACAGGCCTGGAACCTGTTCTTGACATGGCTTAGGTGCTTATAAAGAAAACACCTTCACAAATGAAGCCAACAGCGAATGAAGTTACCTGAGAGTGAATAGGCAGAACATAGGCTGCACGAGGAGTGGGTCTCAGGTTATTCCCCCAGGAGATGTCACATCTTTTTTTTTTTTTTCAGATTGATAAAAGGGTACAAATGTTTAGGTTACATTATTTTCATTTATAAGGTAAAGCTCAAGTTGTAGGTGAGCCCTTCACCCAGAGGGTATGCTTTTACATCTTAGGTGAGATTTTACATCTTAGCCACTGCATTCCCAGGTCCTGTTTCTGGGGACCAACATGGAGACACTTATTCTGGTTCAGCCACAGATGGTGATTTTCCTCTGAAGATGGGAATAACCAGGAGTTGGGATCCCAAATTGAAGTTGAGAGTTGGGATGATTCTAAGGATCCCAATCAGGACTAACTCACTTCACAGACTCAGAATGGGGTGTATGGTATGTAAAATGAATCGTGATCTCTCGCCAAATGTACATGAGATCCAATCGTAGCCTAACCCTCCTCTGGATAGGCCATTTGGATTGAGTTCATCTGTATTGCTTCTCCTTCTGTTATTACTGCTCACAGATTATCTCTTCTACAAAATAGATCCTCCCAGTTTAAAAAGATATTAATAGTCCTTCTTAATTAAAGTAAACCAGAAGCTTCAAAGTATTGAAGAAAATCTAACACCTAAAAGAGACTGTTTGACCTAATTAGATATTCTGAAGAAATGAATAGCGCTACACATGGTAGAATTTGAAAGGGGAGCAAAGATGATGATAAGAAACATTTATCCCTCAGAAATCAGAGCATGTGGCTCACTCTGTCTCTGCTGAATCACTTCCTCAGACTGGTTTTGGGGACACAATTGCCCCCTGGTCCTCTTCCTCTCCCCTAGACATTCCTTCTCTGCTTTGTGCCATCTGACCCTTCAGCTCTGAAGTAGAACAAAAGTCACCCCTTGGGTGATAACATCCAGTTCCTTAGCTTTTAACTGTTTTTGTGAGCCAGTGAGCTTCTAATTTCTTTCCCCAGCCTGGATAGCGTCCCTGGATGGCTTCACTCATACAACTAATATCTTCGTTTGGATATCTCATAGATATCTGAAAGCCAATAGGTACATTTGAAACAGAATTAATTTCAATTTACATGAAATTATTCACCATCCCACCTCTAAAGTTTCCCCCACCTCTGCATACAGTTTCCTACCTATTTCTAGTTGCTTAGGGTGAAAATCATGGGTTGATACTGATTTCTCATAGTCTCCCATCAATATATGAATGAATCCCGTTGGTTCTCTCTTCAAAACAAATTCAGAAAATGAATATATTTCACTACTTTGACTTCTAACATCCTAGTAGCAGAATCTATCATCTGCTCCTTTCTGAATTATTGCCTTCTCATTATTCTCCCTGCTCCCACTTTGCCTCTGGAGTAGATGAGCTGATAAACCATCTGTACCCCCATCAGTCTGAGGACTCACATCCCAGCTGCTCAGAGTGCTTTAACTGTGCTCAGCTATCAGTCCTCTCCAGGAGCTCCTTTCAGCTGAATAAAGCCCTTTGTCAGAAGTTGCTCCTCCTTCTCAGGGGTCTCCGATGGTGAGTCAATGCATCTGCATAAAGGCCTGGCACCCTCACTCCAATTCGAGACAACTCTCAAGAGCAACCCGTTTTCAGACCTCCTCATGAAGTTGGTTAGACTTTGAAAACACACTGCAGCCCAATTTCTACAGTCATGGCTCCCGAGAGCACTTCCTAATAAACTTTCTGCCTG